GCTCTGTGAAACCTGGACAAGGAAGGGCTCGTACTCACCCCTCATTCCGCACATTCCTCGCGCATGACACTTCCCACCGCTCCTGTTCTTGCTGGTTTTACAGGAAGACCGTCCAGCGCTGCAGTCCCCTCCCTTACTGCCACACAGCAAGCAGGATGCCGCCCGGTGGCAGTGACACTGAGAGAGCCAGACCTCTCAAACCCAGTGGCAGACTGCAAATGCCAGCTTTCTCCCTGAGCTCTGAAATAATTCCACTCAGACTGTAACCTTTATTTAGCTGTTTGCATGATGCATTAACTCTTGCTCTGCAAATGACCTCACCAGGCATATTTTTTCTAGTCTAAGCACATTTAAAGGTGAATTCTGTTTTTAAACATGAACAGCTTTCATTGCTAGACATCAAGTCTGTGGCAGAGCAGAACTAAAGACTGAATTTAAATAAGTAAATGCATCTTAAAGATGAACAAACAAGCTTGCCATCAGTTTGGACCTACCTACTTCCCCCCCACACTTTTATTTCTTTTTTTCTCAAAACAAGTCTTACTTGTCTGTGTTTTTTTCTAATCTTTACGGCTATGAACCATTCAAAAATTATATAGAAAGTAGACATGAAAAGAAAAAAAATCAAATGCAGCAACACAGACTTTGGGGACTCACTAAAGATTTTAGATGCCTCAATTTCTAGATAGGCAACATAAGACTTTTTAAATGAGGTTGCTTTTCACAGAGTACTTTACTTAAACTCTGGAAACTCTAGGATGTGTTCACCTGAGCACACAGAAAAAAAAATGTTATTGATGAAATTTAGCCAACCGTAAACTGTAATCAGAAAATAAAAATACAACTTTTTATATAGATCTATACGGGTATTAAAGAGGTGCCAGTCCAGGAAAGCGTCTACACAAACTCCCATGTAGATAAAGGCTTACCTTACCCACTGCTCACTATCCCCATCTGCTCTTTTGAGGCAGCCAGTGAAATACTACAAGGTGATCATGGACTCTCCCCACTATTTCTTCCTTTCTGACTGGACATGTAGTAGCCAAGAAATTCCATGAGATCTGACCAGATTCTTTGAAATGTACCAAGTCTGTCATTTTATCGATGGCTTAATTCTTTCTGAGCTTGCTAATTCATCACAGTACATTGTATCATCTGCAGGATTGGCAGGGTGTCCACTTCTGCAGAATGCGTCTTTGTAATTTGGTAGTCCCCTTCATGAAAATCGTTGCCAGTTTTAAATCTACCACTTATGGGATCTCAGTCTGTTACTCCACAGAATCACAAACACCCAGACTCAATGGCTGTCAGAGGCTCACGGGTCTTTTTATCATCAAGAGGGACCATTTCAACAACACAGTCTCATCTTGGGTGTAACAGAACCCAAAGAACTTCAGACAATCATTTTTTAGCGATACACAGAGCTCCTGCTGGAGCTGTAGCACATACCTTATACAACTAACTAGTATCGACCGTGCAACAGGATATGATGGAAAATCCATGACATCCTTAGAAAAGTTATTCCAACAGTTAATTAACCTCATTCTTAAAATCTTGCTCATAATTTGTAAGCACAGTGTCTGCTTTAGTTTTCCGAACGCATCAGGCTGCTTCAACACACAAATAAATAGCCAGTGAAATGATTTCCTAAAAATGTTATTGTAAGAGTCACAAATCCACGCATTTCATTAGAGGCACACGGTGTGATCTAACCAGCTGGCTGACGGCCCAAATTCCTGGTTCTGTACTTGGCTCTGACACATAATTTTCCCCTCCCATCGGCCAAGTCATTAGTGGTGCGTTCACACTGCAGTCAAAGCAGTGGCAGTGATGGGGAGTAAACATTCAGTGCTTGTTTTAATTGGGTGTTGCTAGCAATTTTGCTCCAGTAATAGGGAGCACAAAGCAGGGTACAAACCTCAGTCCAGAAACAGCATAGAGTAAGCTGTGCTGAACTCCACATTGCCATGGCTGGACTGACAGTTCAAAAATAGTTCTTGTTTCCTTACACTATAAAGTTGAGTCTTCATAGTCATTCCCACAGACGCAAATCTACAGCACAACTGATCCTTGTTGATGTTGGAGTCAGCACAAAGCCGGTAGGAAAGAGACGCTGTTTTGATAATGACAAAACTCAACGATCTAAGATTAATCTGTACAAAGGGTATGTCACATATGCAGGTGATCTTGGAGTCAAAGAAACATTTAATAAAAATTTTAAAGCAAAAAAAAAAAATTGAAACAGTACAGCTGAACCACACTGCACTTTGTTTTCATGCATGGAAATGAGTAAGTCAAAGTAAATGTTCTTGGCTTCAATTTCTCTTTTCCTCCATTTCACTACGGTGAATCAGAATAAGCAGAGCTAGAGGAGGCCTCCAAAGATTATCTAGTCAATCCACCTGCACCAATATGAACTAGGCACCCTGAAGACCTTCAAGTCTGCTGTTAAAATTTTCTGCAAGGCAGATACTACTCCATCCTGGATTGAAGTCAATATATCCCCTTGTAATATCTTGATTCCAACCAAATCGCAATATCCAACAGAAAACTTTTCCATCGCTGCTAAATGCCACAGTCTCCATCCCACATCTGAATTATTTACTCACATGGATTGTCCCCTTGAGGCCATTGGAACTACACGGTTTGCTAAAGTTATACTCACGTGCTAGTATTTGAGGAACCAGTGCTTCAAAGGAAGGCTATAAGCTAGCAGGAGAGGTTTGGAAATCAAAAAGAATGAGTAAGGCAGAGAGTTAGCTTTTTTGAGGTGAGGCGTGGGAGGTGTTTTCGTTCTTTAGCTATTAAAAACTCCTTGCTTTGGCAAGAAAAAAAAAAAAAAAAGGAGAGAAAACTGGGAGGGGAAGGATTCATGGATAAAGAGGCAGCATGGAAAGAGGTACAGCAACCAGGGTGGCCAGAAGGCACAAGCGAGTTTCTCAGGGTGGCTTCCTGACGGAGCAGAGACAGCAGCGAGCACGGGTCAGAAGAGCCAAGGCCTAGTGTGCTGGTCTAAAGGGAATGATAAAACCAGCTTTCTTCACAGCGCTGAGCAGAGGGGTTATGTTACAGTGGGTGCTTTGAGTATTACAATTTACACCTTTTATCTTTCTGGATGTCCCGGTAATTATCCAGGATTGAGGGCATCTCCTTTTTTCCCAGATTTAACAATTACGGATCCCTTTCCCTTCCTCCACGTCAGTTTGGAGCCGTGGCTTCACGGGCAGT